CACTCAATTCAAAGGTGCTAGAATTTACGTGTACTAGTACGACACCAACCCTGGCACGTAAGCCATACTAATATGGCACCAACCCTGAAAGGGTTAAAAGAAAAAACACTTTCCCCATTGTTCACTCTATCACTGTCTTGCTAGAGGGGTGCTGATACTACAGTTCAAAACTGCAAATATCCTCACCCTTTCTACAGAGTGCAGGCACTGTACTTCCCACCTCCAGGACTCAGTCTAGCTTGACTAGTTTTCCTGAATCCCTCCATAAATGTTACCTTGCTCACACTCCAGTAATTGTAGACTCTGTATACATTGCTGCAGTGATCCTCATTATTATTATTATAATCAAGGGGGAAGCGCTAAACCCGGAGGATTATACATCGCCTGGGGGGATGTGGAAGGCATTCAGGCTTAATTCGGGGAACTGGAGCACAGATCCAATTCCCTAAATCAAGAGCCCCTCACCAACATCAAGTAACCTTTCTTGAGGGGGCAGTGATCCTCAACCTTCCCACATAGTTGATGGTCAAATGTGTGATGAGGACTGCACAGTTTTGTTGCCACTGTGCAGTGTGGAACCTACATAAAAGTAAATTCATAATTTCACATGAGGGCTACAGCCATTTCCTAGAAGGGTTACATGTGGCCCGTGGGCTGCATATTGGGGACCCCTGCATTACTGAGTATCATTAACACTGAATAGTGATAGGGAGGGATATTGGATATTGGTAGAGGCATGGGGATGGTTGGGACTGAGGAGTGTCAGAAGAGAGGATAGGCAACAAAGGGGAGGGAAGAGAATAGGCATGGGGTGGGTGATAATAGTCTAATAATAGACATGATGAACTAGTGTGGAGGAAGGCAAGATTACTGCTAGTGAGATATATTACTCTATATTTATGGGGAAGCTCTAAATCCATAGGGGTCATATAGACCTGGGGAAAGGGAGATAATCTGGTTTCATCCAAGGAAGGCGAGTGTGGTTCCAGCATTAAGGCATCCCTTCCCTTGAAGGGTGCAGGAGAGGAAGAAGGGCACTTTGTAAGGGAAGATAACAAGGAAGAGTTGTACCAGCAGGGTCTTGGGAGGCAGGAGTGCTGAAGATAAAGTTGGCTACATGTACACTGCTGCAGACACACAGTTTTTTTTCTTAACACACTGACCATCTTCCACTGAGGCAGGGAAGGGCGACCCAAAAAAGAAGAAACAATTTCACCATCGCTCAGTCCCATTATATGCACAATCCCATTATATGCACAGTCCCATTACATGCACAATCCCATTATATGCACAGTCCCATTACATGCACAATCCCATTCTGTGCACAATCCCATTATATGCAGAGACTCCTCCAAGTGCTGGAACCCTCTAAAGTGCAGCTTCCTGGGATTCTATAAAATGCAACTTTAACACTGAACACCTTCAGTCTGAAACAAGTTAAAAATATGTATTCTTTTTGTTTTCCTATTACTTAATTTATTAACACATTGGTCATTTCCCATCAAGGCAGGGTGGCCCAAAAAAGAAAAACATTCATCATTCACTCCATCACTGTCTTGCCAGAGGGGTGCTTTACACTACAGTTATAAAACTGCAACATTAACACCCCTCCTTCAGAGTGCCGGCACTGTATTTCCCATATCCAGGAATCAAGTCCGGTATGCTGGTTTCCCTGAATCCCTTCATGAATGTTACCTTGCTTACTCTCCAACAGCATGTCAAGTCAAGTCCTAAAAACCATTTGTCTCCATTCGCTCCTGTCTAACACACTGGCACACGCTTCTTGGAAATCCAAGCCCCTTCCACACAAAACCTCCTTTAACCCCTCTCTCCAACCTTTCCTTGGGCGACCCCTACTCTGCCTTCCCTCCACTACAGATTTATACACTCTCAAAGTCATTCTGTTTCGTTCCATCCTCTCTATATTGCCATACCATCTCAGTAACCCTTCCTCGGCCCTCTGGATAAGTTTTGATAATCCACACCTCCTAATCTCCGGACTATGGATTTTCTACATTACATTCACACCACACATGACCAGACATGACATCTCCACTGCCTCCAGTCTTCTCCTTGTATATAACTATACTCTCATACATTCTCCTCTTTGCTTTCATGGATAAAGTTCTTTGTCTCCACAGACCCCTCAGTGCACTACTCACCTCTTTCCCCTCATCAATTCTGTGATTCACCTCATCCTTCATAAACCCATCTGCTGACATGTCTACTCCCAAATATCTGAACACATTCACCTCCTCCATACTCTCTCCCTCCAGTCTGGTATCTAATCTTCAGTTACCTAATTTTTTTGTTATCCTCATCACCTTACTCTTTCCTATATTATTCACTTTTAATTTCCATCTTTTACACACCCTACCAAACTCATCAACCAACCTCTGAAACTTCTCTTCAGAATCTCCCAAAAGCACAGTGTCATCAGGAAAGAGCAACTGTAACAACCCCCACTTTGTGTTAGATTCTTTATCTTTTAACCCCACACCTCTCGCCAAGACCCGAGCATTCACTTCTCTTACAACTCCATCTATAAATATATTGAACAACCACGGTGACATCACACATCCCTGTCTAAGGCCTACTTTTATTGGGAAATAATCTCCCTCTTGCCTACTTATTCTAACCTGAGCCTCACTATCCTCATAAAAATTTTTCACCGCTTTCAATAACCTACCTCCTATTCCATACATTTGCAACATCTGCCACATTGCCCCCCTATCCATCCTGTCATATGCCTTTTCCAAATCCATAAATGTCACAAAAACCTTTTTACCCTTATATAAATACTGTTCACCTATGTTTCACTGCAAACATTTAGTCTACACACCCCCTACCTTTCCTAAAGCCTCCTTGTTCATCTGCTATCCTGCTCTCTGTCTTACTCATAATTCTTTCAGTAATAACTCTACCATACACTTTACCAGGTATACTCAACAGACTTATCCCCCTATAATTTTTACATTCTCTTTTGTCCTTTTTGCCTTTATACAAAGGAATTATGCATGCTCTCTGCCAATCCCTAGGTACCTTACCCTCTTCATACATTTATTAAGTAAAAACACGAACCACTCCAAAACTATATCCCCACCTGCTTTTAACATTTCTATCTTTATCCCATCAATTCCAGCTGCTTTACCCCCTTTCATTCTACTCACTGCCCTTTCCCCTTCACTCACAACTGGTTCTTCCTCACTCCTATACAATGTTATTCCTCCTTACCCTACACACGAAATCACAGCTTCTCTGTCTTCATCAACATTTAACAATTCCTCAAAATATTCCCTCCATCTTCCCGATACCTCTAACTCTCCATTTAATAACTTTTCTCTCCTATTTTTAACTAACAAATCCATTCTTTCCCTAGACTTTCTCAACTTATTAATCTTACTCCAAAACTTTTTCTTATTTTCAACAAAATTTGTTGATAACTTCTCACCCACTCTCTCATTTGCTCTCTTTTTACATTGCTTCACCACTCTTTTAACTTCTCTCTTTCTCTCCATATACTCCTCCCTCCTTGCATCACTTCTACTTTGTAAAAACCTTTCATATGCTAACTTTTTCTCTCTTACTACTCTCTTTACATCATCATTCCACCAGTCACTCTTCTTCCCTCCTGCACCCACTTTCCTGTAAGCACAAACTTCTGCTGAACACTCTTAACACATCTTCTACCCCATTGCCTGTACTCTCACTAGCCCATCTGTCCTCCCACAGTTGTTTATATCTTACCCTAACTGCCTCCTCCTTTAGTTTATAAACCTTCACTTCTCTTACTTGCTGCTTCCATTTTCCTTGTATCCCATCTGCCTTTTACTCTCGCTGTAGCTACAATTAAGAAGTGATCTGATATATCTGTGGCTCCTCTATAAACATGTACATTCTGAAGTCTACCCAACAGTCTTTTATCTACCAATACGTAGTCCAACAAACTACTGTCACTTCGCCCTACATACCTTGTATACTTATACTTATTTATCTTTTTTTTTTCTTAAAATGTGTGTTCCCTAGAGCCAAACCCTTTTCTATACAAAGTTCAATCAAATGCTCCCCATTATCATTTACTCCTGGCACCCCAAACTTACCTACCATACCCCTCTCTAAACACCTCTCTTACTTTAGCATTTAGGTCCCCTACTACAATTACTCTCTCACTTGCTCAAAGTTCCTACACACTTGATTAACATCTCCCAAAATCTTTCTCCTCTATACTCCTTTCTTCTCCAGGTGCATACACACTTATTATGACCCACTTTTCACATCCGACCCTCATTTTAAACTACATAATCCTTGAATTTATACATTTATATTCCCTCTTTTCTCTCCATAACTGATCCTTCAACATTATTGCTACCCCTTCCTTAGCTCTAATTCTCTGATACTCCTTGCTTAATCCCATTTATTTCTCCCCACTGAAACTTCCCTGCCCCCTTCAGCTTTTTTGCTTAGGGCCAGGACATCCAACTTCTTTTCATTCATAACAATAGCAATCATGTATTTCTTATCATCTGCACTACATCCACCCACATTCAAACATCCCAATTTTATAAAGTTTTTCCTTTCCTTGTTTTTAGTAGTTTATACAGGAGAAGGGGTTACTAGCCCATTGCTCCTGGCATTTAGTCGCCTCCTACGACACGCATAGCTTACAGAGGAAGAATTCTGTTTCGCTTCCCCATGGAGGTAAGCAGAAATAAAGAAGAACAAGAACTAGGAAGAAAATAGAAGAAAACCCAGAGGGGTTAGTATATATATGCTTGTACATGCATGTGTAGTGTGACCTAAGTGTAAGTAGAAGTAGCAAGACATACCCGCAACCTTGCATGTTTATGAGACAGAAGAAGACACTAGCAGTCCTACCATCATGCAAAACACACAAGCTTATGTTTCACACTCATTTGGTAGGACAGTAGTACCTCCCAGGGAGGTTGCTGTCTACCAACCTACTAAATGTTACCAAAATTAAAGTTTAATTTGCTGATCAGATTTGGTACAGACGAGCCAGACAGGAAGACGCTGCTCTTCTATGTTACAGCGGCGCTGGAAGGTGTCAGAGCAACAGATGTACGATCTCCCATACTACAGTTACAGCCGGTTAGTACATCTTATAGTGTTACAGTAGACTGTTATGTTGGTGTTTTACTTGTGTATGTATGGCAAGAAATGTTTGTTTCACCGTTTTGTAGTTAAAGTAGCAAATTATTATTATTACTTTATTATACATGTAATTCTTCTTCTTGTATTATTATTATTATTTTTATTATTATTTTACTCCGTGGGCAAGTGGACCAGAATTCTTCCTTCGTAAGCCATGCGTGTTGTAAGAGGCGACTAAAATGCCAGGAGCAAGGGGCTAGTAACCCCTTATCCTGTATACATTACTAAAATTGAAAAGAGATTTTTGTTTTTCTTTTTGTGCCACCCTGCTTCAGTGGGATATGGCCGGTTTGTTGAAAGAAGAAAGATTATTATTTTTATTATTATTATTATTATTATTATTATTATTATTATTATTATTATTTTATTTTGTATTTTATTATCATTATTATTATATTGTATTATGCGAACAGATTACAAAACTTAAGAGGTGATATAAAAAAGACCTGGAAAGCATTATCTGAAATTCTAGGAACCAAAAAGATATCCAAAAACAGAACGATCAAACTAACAAAACCAGATGAACCCCAACTCCCACTGACTGAAACAGCAAACACACTCAGTGCTTTCTTCTCCACCATAGGAAAAAAACCTAGCGAGCAAAATCCCAACCTCAAACACCCCACCAAAAGACTGCCTTACTGGCACCTACCCGAATACACTGTTCCTAGCTCCGACCAACTCAATAGAAGTCTCACTCATCATGAGCACACTAAAAAACAAGGCAGGAGATTCAAATACCTTACCACCTTTTGTGAACAAAAAAGGTTCTCAAGTACTTTCACCAGTTATTGCAACACTCTTTAACAAATCCACTTTCCCAGCAATTCCTACAGGCCAATATCTAACTTACCCCTTCCTTCTAAAATCTTTGAAAAATTAATTCATAGGCAGATCAATTCCCACCTTGTCTCCCACAACATACTCAACCCCTCCTGTCAGTTTGGATTCAGGCCCCATAAAAACATGAATGATGCTATTATACACCTGCTAGAACTAATATACACTGCTCTAAAGAAAAAAGAAGTCCCATTGGGAATCTTCATTGATTTATGTTAGGCTTTTGACACAGTTGGCCATGATTTGTTGCACATAAAATGAACACACTTTGGTATAAGAGGGCACTCCTTCAACTACCTAGTCATACCTTTGCAACAGAAGCCAATATGTGTACACAAATGGAGCTAACGCTTCCACACAACCAATTACAGTCGGCATCCCGCAGGGAAGTGTCCTTGGCCCACTTCTCTTTCTCATTTACATCAATGACCTACCTAATGCATCTCAACTACTCAAACCCATATTATTGGCAGATGACACTACATATGCTTCTCTCACCCAAGCCCAGTCATACTAGCCAACACTGTAAATGCTGAATTACAGAAAATATCTACCTGGATTATGATTAAAAAGCTTACTCTCAGTGTTGACAAAATGTATTTCATTCAGTTTGGAAAAAAGCTACAAATGTTCCACTTGAACCTATCTGTTTTACCTTTACCTGGATCAAACCTATTTGCCTCACTTTCCCCATGAGGTGCATGACCCCTATGAGTTTAGTGCTTCCCAGTTATTATAACTGGGCAGCACTTTCTCTATTTGTAGACAGTGTTTCTGGTATCATTATAGAACTGCATTTTTTCTAAGTTTACCAATATTGAGTCTTGTTCTAACTGTTAGGACTGCTTACTATGTAGCCAAGCTCACCATTACATTTCCCCACCAAGACTAGACACGTAGCAGTTTTGCTGGATGCTCAAGAATGGTTCTTAATCAAACCTGATTACCTCTGCCTCTTCCATACCCCAGATGCTGCATAACTTAATGAACAATGGCAGACCTACATTTTTGGGGCCCTGAAGCTTGAACTGTAATGCAGGCCCCTTTGCAGCCAGCAACAGCTAGCCTGCATGATACTTTAATACCTTTAGAATTTTATTGTAACTATTATTTTGTATTGAATTACACTATATTATTATTATTATTAAAAAAAAACCTTCTCATACAGTAGACCCAAAATTTTTAATCAGTGTGGACTAAAATTGCTTCTGGGGCTTATCTGCAATTAGGGGCCCTTGTTTGCTGCAATGTAGTCACCTCTTACGACACGCATGGCTTACAAAGGAACGATTCTTTTCCACTTCCCATGGAGCTCCTCATGAATATGATAATTATCATATCTTCTGTATGACCCTTCCAGGTTTAGTGCTTAGATTCATTATAATAATATAATCATTATATAGTGAGAAATTTCACAAATGTGTAAAATCCTTGTTTCCACAATCACAGTTTGCATAGATAGAAGTAAAGGCAACATAACAGACAAGTACCCTTGGAAAGACATGGGAAAAATCCAAAACAAAGTGACCATAGTCCATCACATAACTCAAAAAAAGATATAAATTATGAATATTCTAGGTACAGCATTTGAGAACATTCCATTTTTAAGGTAAACCTGGGGAGTAGACTTTTTTTCTCACTGAAATTTTAAAAAATCTGAGATTTTCATTCATTAACTTTCAGTTGCAATAAATATGATAATATTAGGCCAGTTATGTTTTAGGCAGCACATGAGAGAAACATGTATGATGTGTCTTGGAAGTGTCCTGTTTGGTCTACCTTAGTATACAGTAATCAGCTTTTCATTCAAGGTAAACAGACATTGAAGATTTACACTGTGACTTCAGAATCAAAAATAAAAGTGTTGCATGCACATACACAGCATTATTTTATACACCAGAAACCTGACCTTAAATGTTAGGGACTAGCTCCCTTAAAGTTTACTATACAAATAGTAGGAGTCTAAGATATATGATAGATGAGCTAAGATTACTTGCAAGTGTAGGTAATATAGATATTATTGGTATAACAGAGACCTGGTTCAACCTGAAAGATAGAGAAATGCCTTCTGAATGCAACATACAAGATTATAAACTATTCCACACTGACAGGGTCAACAGGAAGGATGCTGGGGTGGCGATGTATGTCAGAGAAAATTTAAATTGTTGTCTTAGACATGATATAAGATTAGAGACATCGAACACAGAATCTGTTTGGCTACAGTTTCTCGAGGGACATGACAAATTAATTTTGGGTGTGATTTATAGACCCCCAAACCTTGATAGGGAGGACAGTAAGCTGTTATGGGACAAAATTCATAAGGCATCTAGATATGAAAATGTTGTTATAATGGGAGATTTTAACTTTAGACAAATTGATTGGAACAATATGACAGGAAATCTTGAGTCTAGTGACTTTCTTGATATGGTTCAGGATTGCTTTTTAGAACAGGTTGTGACAGAACCAACTAGAGGAAACAATCTGCTTGACTTGGTTCTTGCCAACAAAGATTCACTAAGCAATAATCTTGAGGTTAATGGTGAGCTTGGGGAAAGTGATCACAAATCACTTAGTTTTAATATATCATGGAATTACCCAGATAACTGCAATCAAATCTCTGTCCCAGATTTTCGCTTAGCCGACTTCATGGGACTGAAAAATTACCTGGGTGGGCTAAATTGGGATGTCTTGACTATGGATGAGGTAGGTGATCTTGGTTGCCAATATGACTATGCTCTGAAAGAGCATAGTTCTAGCTACCCAGACAACTTTTGTTCTGAGTAGGGAAATTAGATCCAACAAAAATGATCCCAAATGGATGAACAATGGATTAAAACATCTCATTGGTCAAAAGAGAGGCGTATATAGGTGTATCAGAAGAGGGGATGGGCAGTTAAGAAATCAATATATTCAATTAAAGAGAGAAATAAAGAAAGGAATAAGAAAAGCAAAAAGGGATTATGAGGCTAAGGTCACAAGGGATTCAAAGATTAACCCTAAAGGATTCTTTCAGGTATACAGAAGTAAGATTAGGGACAAGATTGGCCAACTTAAGAGTAACTCTGGTCAGATCACTGACAGTGAAAAGGATATGTGTGAAATTCTAAATACCTACTTCCTCACCCAGGAAAATATTAGCGATATTCCTGAAATAATAAATTATGTAGAACAGGATGATAATAAACTATGTATGATTGCAGTAACTAGTGACATGGTCCTCAGACAAATAGAGAAACTAAAACCTAACAAATCCCCAGGCCCTGATGAACTGTTTGCAAGGGTGTTAAAGGAATGTAAAGAGGAACTTAGCATACCTTTGGCTAATCTTTTTAACATATCACTACAAACTGGCATAGTGCCTGATAAGTGGAAAATGGCAAATGTAATACCTATTTACAAGGCAGGTGACAGGTCCTTGGCTTCGAACTATAGACCAATAAGCCTTACCTCCATAGTGGGAAAATTTATGGAATCAATAATTGCCGAAGCAATTCATAGCCATATTGACAGGCACAGATTAATTAATGAATCTCAACACAGCTTTACAAAGGGGCGTTCCTGTCTTACGAATTTACTAACTTTTTTCACTAAAGTGTTTGAGGAGGTAGATCATGGTAATGAATATGATATTGTGTATATGGGCTTCAGTAAGGCTTTCGATAGAGTTCCACACCAGAGGCTATTGAGGAAACTTAAGGCACACGGAATAGGAGGAGAAATTTTTTCCTGGGTAGAGGCATGGCTGACAAATAGACAGCAGAGAGTTTGCATAAATGGGGAGAAATCAGAATGGGGGCACATCACACGCGGTGTTCCTCAGGTGTCAGTGCTGGGCCTGTTGTTGTTCACAATTTACATAAATGACATAGATGAGGGAATAAATAGCGACATAAGCAAATTTGCTGATGACACCAAAATAGGCCGTCCATTCATTCTAATGATGACACTAGAGCACTCCAGGATGATTTGAATAGACTGATGCAATGGTTGGAGAAGTGGCAGATGCAGTTTAATATAGACAAATGCAAGTTCTAAATGTTGGACAGGTAAATAACCATGCCACATATAAACTAAATAATGTAGATCTTAATACGTGTACTACTGATTGCGAAAAGGATTTAGGAGTTCTGGTTAGCAGTAATTTAAAACCAAGACAACAGTGCATTAGTGTTCGCAATAAAGCTAACAGAATTCTTGGCTTCATATCTAGAAGTATAAATAATAGAAGTCCTCAGGTTGTTCTTCAACTCTATATATCTTTGGTTAGGCCTCATTTAGACTATGCTGCTCAGTTCTGGTCACCGTATTACAGAATGGAAATGAATGCTCTGGAAAACGTACAAAGGAGGATGACAAAGATGATCCCATGTATCAGAAATCTTCCCTATGAGGATACACTGAGGGCCCTGAATCTGCACTCTCTCGAAAGACGTAGAATTAGGGGGGACATGATCGAGGTGTATAAATGGAAAACAGGAATAAATAAAGGGGATGTAAATAGCGTGTTGAAAATTTCCAGCCAAGACAGGACTCGCAGCAATGGTTTCAAGTTGGAAAAATTCAGATTCAGAAAGGATATAGGAAAGCACTGATTTGGTAATAGAGTTGTGGATGAGTGGAACAAACTCCCGAGTACAGTTATTCAGGCTAAAACGTTGTGTAGTTTTAAAAATAGGTTAGATAAATACAGGAGTGGGTGTGGGTGGGTGTGAGTTGGACCTGACTAGCTTGTGCTGCTGGGTCTGGTGCAGTGCTCCATCCTTGAGTGGAGATGATCAGACTGGGTAGGTCATTGGGCTAATCCTGGGGGGGGGGGGGGACATGGACCTGCTCCGCATGGGTCAGTAGGCCTGTTGCAGCGCTCCTTCTTTCTTATGTTCTTATTAATAGTGTTTTTTCTCTGTGTGATGATATGGAGCTGCATGGTTGACAATTACTGGGAGCGCTTGAGGTTCCTGAACCTGTATTCCCTGGAACGCAGGCGGGAGAGATACATGATTATATACACCTGGAAATTCCTAGAGGGACTAGTACTGAACTTGCACACGAAAATCACTCACTACGAAAGCAAAAGACTTGGCAGACGATGCAACATCCCCCCAGTGAAAAGCAGGGGTGTCACTAGCACGTTAAGAGACCATACAATAAGTGTCAGGGGCCCGAGACTGTTCAACTGCCTCCCAGCATAAATAAGGGGGATTACCAATAGACCCCTGGCAGTCTTCAAGCTGGCACTGGACAAGCACCTAAAGTCAGTACCTGACCAGCCGGGCTGTGGCTCGTACGTTGGTTTGAGTGCAGCCAGCAGTAACAGCCTGATTGATCAGGCTCTGATCTACCAGGAGGCCTGGTCACAGACCGGGCCACGGGGGCGTTGACCCCCGGAACTCTCTCCAGGTAAACTCCAGGTAAACAAGTGTCACTCTTCTAGTTTTTCTTTTCAGGTATCTGAAGCTCCTGATCCTCCTGTACGTACAGCAATGACACTTGAAGGCTTCCAGGTTGCTCTCATTGTGCTGGCTGCTGTCATTGTTATCCTGGGAGTCATTGGAATATGTTACATCTGTTTACAATGGAAAAGGTATCTGTTTACTTGTCACTTGCTGTTAACATGTCAAGATATGGCTTGTAGAGATACTGTTCATAATGATATAGCATAAAAAACTGATGACATATCTTTTAGAAACATTTTATTTATATTTTTTATTAACTATACCTTTTAAAAACATTTGATTTATTTATTTTTGTTTTAAAATGCTGGCCATCTCCCACTGAGGCAGGATAACCCAAAAAAGAAACACTATCACTGTCTTGCCAAAAGTGTGCATATATGACAGGTTAGATGTCCCTCTAAACAGCAGATATTCCAAACCCCCTTCTTTATAGTGCAGGAACTGTACATCCCACTGGGGGTTTCAATAATCATCAGTGTCGGTTATTTGGTTAATCTTATGCATGGTATTGACTGTTGAAAATAAATGAGACAAGATTATCTATTGCATTGACAGTGCCAGAGGTAGTGGCTCTGGGATAGAAGAATGAGCATAATGCCTCTGGGATAAAAGAATGAGAATAATAGACTATTGGGATTAGTAACCACAGAAGGTTAATAACCTAGAATAATCCAAGAATGCCAAACAGCGTGGCTTATTTCCATTGTGTGTCTTATTTAGGTTCTTCCCTAGAATGACACCTACAATAACTTAACTCCTAGATATCTATTTACTGCTTGGTAACTAAAGGAGCAGGTGTTATGAGACTTGTCCATATGTCCCACTACTCACAGGGTTTAATCTAGGAACTTTTGATTGATACACTCTCATTCTCTTAATGCTTTATGGCCTCTCGATTTTCTGTGAAGCTCAGTGATGGCTCTTCAGGATCTCTGCTTGATACCGACTGTTTTTATTCTGATATCTTAGCAGTGTTGACAGTGATGGAATGAGGGTGCAGATACGAAGTAAGTCCTGCCCAATATCCCAGGCCTGCACCACCTGCCATGTGGTGACTATGAGTCTGTTATCACTGCAGTGTAGCACTTCTGTTGGGATGCAGCCCTTAGAATAACCTTTACAGGATCAGATACATTATGAAGCATTGTATATGTCCTAAACAAGGAAGTACAGCCCCTGGCTGGGCTGCAAAGGCACAAGATAGAAGAACCTATGAAAACAGTCATGTGTATGTCACTTCTTGCCTGCTTTTGAACTAGACATACCTGCCTGTCTCATGTTTATAGAAAACAAAAAGGTAAAATACAGTGACTGGAGTAATACACGAATACCCGAACAGTCAAAAGAAACACGAGATGACATTTTGATCCGATTTGGACCATTGTTTATCTTATAGTGGGCACTGCTCTGTTGTGTACATTCTGGGGGAATGTCCAGTGAACTTGGGTCATGGGACCAACACTTAAGAACCTTTTTCCCTTTGTCTTTAACATTATACCATTATCTTTCTCCATTACCTTCCTTCTTTTCTTTCTCAGTTTTTCATTTTCTAAATGAAATTGATCTGTAGTCACAAGGACCCTACTGAAAATAAATGACACTGTTTGGCTTGTAGGTGTATGGTTCAGAGAACCGACAGGATGATGGATTAGACATATGTACAACACATGGGTATCTTTATTGTGTTAATGTTGATGGACTGATCACAGCAATTCCAGGCTGATGGACTGATTACTTCACACTCCTTCTGTCTTCAGCTATTCTACTCTGTACTGAACTGAGGAAGCCACTGGTTGGTGAAACGTTTCCACAATAAAGATACCCAAGTGTTTCACAAGTGTCTGATTCATCAAATTGCTTGACTTTCTTGGGGCTAATAATCCAAAGAAAATCTCCATAACTAATTCCACAACCAGTGTCAAGGTTTCTGTAGATTTTCAAATTTATTTTATGGTGTAAAAACAAATGTAAGGCATAATTTTTCAGTTCAGTTTCCTTTTCAGATACATAAGGCATCGTGATGAAGCAAATAAAGCCGTGGTAGTTGTTGCACCACCTTATGAAAGGGTTGGCTCTATTATTGAACCTATTGCAAAGGAATATGAAGTTCAGGTAAGCCTTCACTATGCAAACCCACACTGAAATGAAAAGGAAGAATTGTTACTTCATGCACTGTATCAGTTAACTGTAATTATGTACAGTGCTGTATCAATTAATTTTAGCTGTGTACCTCTTCAAGGGGGGCTCCTTGTTGTGGTGAAGAGGCTCTTGGTCTGAGGAATTAGACCTGTTGGTCTCCTTCCTCAGACTGAACCTAATTACCCCCCAATCCCCTTTTCCCTTCCCTCCTCCTCCTCCCCACCCCTCCCTTTTGCCCTTCCTCTTTTTGGCCTTTGAGATTTTTCCCACAGGCGTGCTAGTTCCTAGGTAGGGGAAAGGGTACCGGGGTCCATCCCATTCCGTTGAGGTTCTTGGCGGTGGCGTAGTTTGCCATGGAATCTGGATTGCCTAGGGATGTTCCGATCCCTCTCCGGTATCCCGGAGAGTGGCTTTGGGTGTCTTTCGGGCGACGGGTGTATCTCTGGAAGCCACCTTTCGGATTCTGGGGGTGGTGGCCGAAGGAGGTATGCTTTGTGGCGGATATCCGGCCGCCCTCTCTTTTGTCCACCAAGGTAGCTCGGCAGATGTGAGGTTGCTGTCCCGGATTGCTGGTTTACTGGCATGAAGGGTAGGGTATGGCACGGGTTCCATGCTGCATCTGCGCTACTAGCGGTGCTGAGGTTCTCTTGGGTGTGGAGGGAGATTTCCGGCCCTTTCATTCCTCCTGGGAACTATTCCTCCCCGCTCCCCCCTTTTTTTTATTCTTTTTTTATTCTTATTTTCTTTTCTTCCTTCTTTTTTTTCTTAAAAACAAAAAGCAAAGGAGTAACCTAACCATGGAGAACCCAATCCATGAACCCACTACCCCTGGGCCCCTTGATACCACACCCCATTCTGACCCTGCCTTGTTTTTTGACCACTCTTCGGACACTCCTGATGCCCCTGTACCTCTTGCTGGTGCTGTTTCCTCACCTGCTTCAGCTACCGGGGCTTCGACTGACTCCTTCGATTTGTCTGACCTCCGCTCTCCTTTGACTATGCTTCCGGCCTCTCCCTCTACAGTACGGCAATTTTCGAATCGCCAGCCCATTTCACTACGGACCACCTGCGGTCCTACTCCTAAATGCCAATGACAATCTCCTGATGATGTTCCTTCGTTACCTTCCCATTCTACTTGGAAAAGACCGACACGTCATGCACTTCCTCTCCATGCTCAGTTTCGGACCACACAATGGACTAAATTCTTTACTTTAAGACCGACTTCTTTTTCTGCCTATCTTTCTGACCATAGTATTGGCAAAGCGCTCCTGCGCCATGTTGGTAGAGATATTTCATTTCATGCTCTCAAGAGCGGTATGCGCATCGTCACTGTCCAGAATGCTACCCAAGCTCATGATCTTTCTCTCCTTTCACATATCGATACTACTCCTATCACTATTGAAAAACATCTTTCTCTCAATTCTTGTAGTGGTACTGTCATTCTGCCCCATACCATAGTCCAACAGAATTTCCAGTCATGTGGCAATGACATTCTTGAACAGCTGGAACTCCAGGATCTCCCAATCCTCAAAGTAGACACTTATGTCCTTCCTGCCCGCGGGCGGAGACGTTACCCTTGCAATGTGGCTCGATTAACTTTCGACAGTCGTGAACTCCCGTCCTCTGTTTATGTTGCGGGACATCAGTTACAAGTTCAAAAGGTGATCCCTACACCGCAACAGTGTAGAAATTGCTGGCGTTTTGGTCACCCAGCGAAATATTGCAGATCTATAGCCGAATGCCCAGTCTGTGGTGCCGACAACCACTCTAATACATCTTGCAGTCAACCTCCATCTTGCCTTAATTGTAATGAGGCTCACCCTTCATACTCTCGCCGTTGCCAGGCCTACTTGAATGAGCGTGAAATCCGTTGCCTCAAAGAGGCAGAAGGTCTCCCTTATGCTATGGCAGTTACTCATCTCTGCCTCCAAGGGAGACTACCCTGTGTTTCTTATTCTTGTGTTTCAAAACGTCCCCCCACTTCTGGGGTCCCATCTTCTGCAGCCTCCTCTGTTGTTGCCCCTCCCATAGCCACTCCAGCATCTAATCCTTTTGCTGTCCTTGGCTCTGACATCCCGACTACAACTCAGTCTGTTCTCACATCTTCGCGTCCTTCGTCACAAGCCCCGGTATCGACAAGACCCCGTACGACACCTTATACCAATCGCCCCTCTACTTCTCAGAAGTCCAAAAAATCCCCAGTGCTCAAATCTTCTTTGCCCCTTCCTTCCCTTCTTCCACCTCCACACTTTACCTTTCCAGTCTCTGTGCCTAGTTCTTCCCCTCTCTCTGGCTCTATTACAAGTGTGGAGGTTCACCCTCCTCCTCGTACTATGCCTTCCACCCCCGTCCCCTCCCAAGTTTCCCCCTCTTCTGCCACCTCCCAGGTTTCTGCCTCTTCTGTCCCCTCCAACACTTCTTCTCCAGTCCCCTACACTCTTTCGTCCCCCTCTACTTAGGTACGGTCCATTACTGTCCCAATCTTTACTCACCCTCCTCCTTCTACCTCCAATATTGTCTCCCATACATCTTTGAATTCAGAAACACTTGAAGCCATTTCAGAATATATTGCAGAGACTAAACCTTCAATGGACACTGATCCACCTCCTGTTCCTTCTCTTCCCTCTCCTCCATCTCCACAACTCCATTCTTCGCAACGCTCCATTTCTTTGCTGCTTGAACGTCTTCCAATGCCACCACACGTTGACTTTTCTAACCCCTCTAGTCCGTAGGTGCCCTTCCCTACGGATTCCTGGTATTTTCTTCATTGCCAATCATGGCCTATTTACAGTGGAATATCCGCGGCCTCAGGGGTAATTGGGGTGAGCTTCAGATGTTGCTTTCCAGGTTTTCCCCTGTTGGTGCTTGCTTACAAGAACCAAAATTACACTCAGCTGTTTTCCAACCTATCTCAGGCTATAATTTATTGTATTCTTCGGAGCCTTTCTCAAATGGGACCTTTAATGAAAGTGCCCTTTTTCTATGCAATGATATTCTGTACTGTCAACTATTTGTCCATACCTCGCTGCATTACACAGCAGCCCGTATTCACTTGAATAAGTGGTTTACAATATGTTCTTTATATCTCTCTCCTTCTCGAGCATTTTCTATCCCAGATTTTGCCTTTCTAGTTTCATCCCTTCTGTTACTTGGTGATTTTAGTGCCCACCATTTCCTCTGGGGGGGTCTCATTGTGACTCACGAGGCATCCAGTTGGAGGCTTTTCTCGCCTCTCACCCCCTCCATGTTTTAAATACGGGTACTCCCACCCACTTTGATCCTCATACTCATACTCTCTCTTGCATCGATCTATCAGTCTGCTCTTCCTCCACTGCACTAGACTTCACCTGGTCTGTTCTACCAGACTTACATGACAGCGATCATTTTCCAACCATTCTTACTTCTCCTTCCTATTCACCACCTTTCCATAGCCCTCGCTGGCAATTTGATCGGGCAAATTGGGACCTTTACTCGCAACTCACTGCTTTTAGTGAGGTTCCTTCTTCATCCTCCATTGATGAGCTCCTACACCTCTTCTCGACGTCAGTTTATACCGCAGCTTCTCATTCTATACCCCAAACCTCAGGCAGGCATTCTCAGAAGTGCATGCCTTGGTGGTCTCCTGCTTGTGCTCGTGCAGTACGTTTGAAACGTGCTGCATGGGGCAGGTACCGGTACAATACAACCGATGAGAGACTTCTTGATTTTAAGCAGGAGCGTGCGATCGCTCACCGTGTCATCCGTGACGCTAAATGCACTTGCTGGCGAGACTATGTTTCCACCATCACCTCTGCTTCCTCTATGAGTGCAGTCTGGAAAAAAGTGAGGAAATTGAGTGGTAAATACTCTCCTGACCCGGCTCCTGTTCTACGGGTCGCTGGTGTTGATGTAGCAAACCCTCTTGACGTTGTCATTGAAATTGGCACTCATCTGGTCCGTATTTCCTGGGGGCTCCATCTATGCCCCTTGTTTCTTTTCTCAAAGTCTGCCAGAGAGTTAGTACCCTTGGCCTTTTCTTCTCTCAGAGAAGAACAGTATAATGTGCCTTTTACACTTCAGGAACTGGAGGCAACGCTCTCAGCTTGCTGATCATCGGCAGCTGGGCCTGACGACATTCATATTCGTATGTTACAACATTTACATCAGTCAGCCCTTGTAGTCCTCTTACACCTCTTCAATCTTATTTGGGCACAAATTCTTCCCCAGCTGTGGAAATCTGCCATCGTTCTCCCTTTCCGCAAACCGGGTACTACAGGACATGATGCCTCCCACTATCGTCCCATCGCTCTTACTAGTGCAGTTTGCAAAGTGATGGAACGTCTGGTAAATCAACGTTTAATGTGGTATTTAGAGACACACAACAGTCTCTCCGCTAGTCAATATGGCTTTCGTAAATACCATTCTACCATAGACCCCTTACCACGCTTGGATACGTATGTTCGTAATGCCTTTGCGAATAATCACTCAGTTATTGCCATATTTTTTGACCTTGAGAAGGCATATAACACAACTTGGAGGTATAATATTTTGGCCCAGGCCCACTCCTTAGGCCTCCGAGGCAATCTACCATCCTTCCTTAATAACTATTTAACTGACAGACATTTCTGTGTTCAAGTCAATAATGTGCTTTCCCCGGACTTCGTCCAAGCTGAAGGTGTCGCTCAGGGATGTGTTCTGAGCACAACACTTTTTCTCCTTGCTATAAATGATTTGGCCTCTGTTCTTCCACCCAATATTTGGTCATCACTCTAAGTTGATGACTTCGCTATTGCTTGTGCAGGCGCTGACTGTCATCTCATTACAGTTTCTCTCCAGCATGCGGTCGACCGTGTTTCCACTTGGGCCACCACGCATGGGTTTAAATTTTCCAGTACCAAAACTCACCAAATTACTTTCACTAGACACTCTGCCATCTCCGATCATCCTTTGTATCTCTATGGCTCCCATATCCCCAAACGTGATACAGTCAGGTT